AATTAACGATTCATGTTTGTATTATAACTTCGACTAGGGTGACCATACATTGTAATGTATTTTATTTTAATTACAAACGGAAAAGGTTTTCTGAAATGGTCTCTCTGCTCGATTTGCGTGAAATTTCGAAATGTTGTTTACAAGAATGATGATACACAGAAACATCAAAATTAAAATAATTATATATCTTTTATTACTTAATTTTTTGCAGGTTTCCTTCCAATCTAACAAAACCTAATAAATGGTTAAACAATGTGGAGCTAAAAATAGCCTTTTTTGAAAAAGCAAAGATTTGTAATCTATGTCATATCAACCAATTACATGATTACTGTGATACCGCTGAGACAAGGAGTCACACCGTTTCTAAATGAAATAGCAGATTGTTCTGTGATACAGGTATATGAGCTTTTGTTAGGTACTTGTTATTTCTTAATTCAAAGCGATGTTTTGTTTCAAAGGGAAGAAAAGTAATTTTAAAAAAATTGCAGAAAAAAATTTTTGAGAAAGAAAGAAAAATGCATTCTGTTACCTAGAAAGCAGGAACAGCTTGATATGTTATATCACTAGGATATAATTTGTAAAAATAATTACAAGCTATTTTGTACATATTTTGCTAAGTTTTTAATTGTATTTAATTTTTAAAATTTCAAATTGCGGTCTCAGGAAATCCATTTTTTTGATAAATTGTACGATAAGTGTGACAAATTGAAAAATAAAGTGTTCATGACAAATTATACGTAGTAGAGCCATGCTGCAGCTATATTTCTGGTATAGTTGTAACACGAATGGATCAGCTCGACCGGGGAAGGACCACGCTCTCACAGAATACCAGCGTAAAATAGCAGCTTAATGCTGCTGTGTTTCATATGGTGAGTGTAGAGAACCGGAGACCCTTTTTACTGGAAAAGAGGCATTCTGATGCATTTTGATTTGTAATAGAGGATAGATGTAAATGTCTTTTGATCGCACAATAAATAATAAATAAATATAGGCCGCAGCAACCACTTACCATCAGTTGGACTGTGTGCTCGTTTGTCATCCCTATTCTATAACAAAAAACCAGCCTATGGATGACAGTATTAATTGCTCTTAATTTCATTAATCCAGAATTTTAAATTTTGTTTTATAGGATAGGGTGACAAACTAGCACACAGTCCACCTGATGGTAAATGGTTGCTGTGAATTTCAAACTCTTTTTTGACCATGTGTCTCAGAACGCATCTAAAAAAAATTATGGACTAAAAGTTGAGTGCTATTCGTACCAAGTGACAAAAACTTCACAAAACTATTCAATCATGTATAAAAATTGAGTTGTAAAAACCTTCACCTCTAATTATTATTATTGTATATTTTAAATTTGTAGACACTATTGCTATTGTAATAATAAATGTAAATAAAAACGATTATTATTTTAGTTTTATTATTTCCTAATGATACATTATAAGAGATGTAAAGACAGTCTCCCGAAAACTTTAACCATGAATCATCATCCTGAGTAAGGTACTGAAGAATTTTCTTTGTGGAAATTAAAAAAAATTGACTTCCCATACAAAATTGGTCACGTGACCGATACATTTTGTATGGGAAATCGAATTTTTTGTTCATTTTCGGACAAAAATATTTTAGTTTTAGTTAGTAAGTTTTGTATATAGAGCCAGTTCACTCGTTTATTCGTTTATTGACAAAAAAGTACACGAATAAATAATATTAATTAATAAACTTCCGCCCGCAGGCTCGACCTTATGAATTTCTCTAATATCATGCGTTTCAATGGAACTCTACTATTTTCAATTAAATTAAAATTTTATAAATGAATATAATAAAAATAAACTGATTTTTCCCCATAATATCCCAAATTCTTGTATTTTGTGTTCACCCTAATTAGAAAGAGACTGAGGGGTAATGAAAAATTTCAAGGTCGTTTTATTGTATTTTTTATGTCATTCGAAAGTGCGGGTTCCAGTTTGTACGAAGTACATGTATTTCCATGGTTCTCTCATAGACTTAGAATATATACGCCAATATATTCTAAGTCTATGGGTTCTCTGTATGTCTATGGTACAAACCAGTGTCTCCATGTACACGGTCATTATACCGTATATAATATATAGATAAATAAATATGTGGATGCACCGTAATTTGGTCTTAACCTACAGTCAAGGTAAGTAGTATGGCATTACCGTGTCATATGTCACCGTAATAGCATTGTATACCGTATTGTGCTCAAATGCCGAGTGCGAGCACATTTTCAGCCAAGTCAATGATATAAAAACGAAAAAGAAATAAACTTTTAACCAAAACACTGAAAGGAAATACTTTTCACCCAACAATCAACGAAAAAAAAATTCCAAAAACTGTGTTGATTTCAGGCCTACTAACGATTTATTAACTAAAATAAATAAATCCAATTAAGAAAAAGATATTGTCATGCTAGGAGAGTCTGCTTCAGAATAATATTGTTTTATTTTAGTATGTTTTGAAAAAAATCTTAGTAATTAATTAAAAACAAATATATTTGGACTTGATTTTGTTTATAATGTTGTAATTTTCTGCGAAAAGTTACACGGTACACTTATAGTTAATCTACCGTAATTTTATCTAGAAACACCGTATTTTTACCCTTGCCCCAGTAACTCTCGATTTCCATATGGAAACACTGATACAAAGTACAAACGCTTTAACCTCAACCTCAAACTAGTAAGAAGTGCTAGCGCAGTGGCTATAACTGACAATTCAAATTTAAACTTTTTTGATATAGCAATAAGAATTATTTTATTAGAAATATAAACTTTCGTTTTCGCTATTTAATCAAAGTAACGTAGTAACCACCATATTACTAGTCTGTGGTAGTAACGTAGTGACTAGTGATGAGTCGTCACCAAAGGGAATATAATAATTTTATTTATTTATTATTAATTTTATTTATTATTTTTTATGGGTATTTAAAAAAAAATATTTATAATTTTCTAGTAACTGTCCTAGTCAAGGAGTATAGTAACTGTCCTAGGTCCTAGTCGTCACTTCAGCAGGCCTCCGTCACTCGCTCAAGACCCTGGGTTATATGCCTAGCGTTTTGCGTATCGCCCACGATACAACCGACATTAGGCTGCCGCACGCCCGCCTGAGCGCTTGCACCGCACACGTTTCCCGCGCTTACTCGTCGAAATGCCGAAACCACATAATTATTGTGCAGTGGATGGGTGTCAGAGTCAAAAAACAATTGAAAAATTGTCTTTTTTTTTCTTAACTATAAGATTACATCGAAACAAAGCATAACAGTTCTGTAATTTATAAATTGAGTGACAACCATTTTCAACGATAAAATTTAATAACCGAAAATTCAAATTGAAGGAAAAAAATGTATAAATCATTTTATAAATCTCAAACATATTTTATTGACAAATAAAAAGTATGGTAATTTCGCAAGATTCGTTTTATTACAATAATCATCATAGGTACAACCCTAGAGCATTCGTGCGATGACGCGCTTGTACGTGAGTCGCACGGCGGTCAACATAATCTCGACTCTTTATGCGCGTATTTATGGTACATTTTCCTCTCGCTGCGAACAGTAGACATTATTATTAAGATTTTGTAGGCTATTATAGCGTAGGTATTTTCGCTTTTGTATGGGAGTGATGTATCTGTTTAGTAAACTATTAACTAATCTGTGACTTCAGACAGTTACTATACTCTTTCGGGAGTTTTGGCGGGAAATTGACCGGCGGCGGTTTGCTGCTCCTGTATTATTGTTAAAATATTGGTTTGAAGTGGACTTTGATATGTAAAAGTGTTGCGATTTTGTGTATTAAGTGTCTACGCATGTGAACTATTAGTGGAAACAGTGAAACAAGTGCTCTGATGGTGATGGATTCTCAAGATAAGCTGTTTGTTTGCATAGGCACCTTTAGATACCATCGCCAACTATCAGCTGTCTGCTGGATCAAGTTGCCGCCAAAATCTCCCAAGAACTGCACAATGTGACGCATCAATATATTGTGAAGCAGTATATTATGAAGGAGTGGGGAAATTACAATAAATCGAATAAAAATACTTAAGACTTGGCCTAAAGGTCTAGATACCAGGCCATAAACTCCAAAAAAAAAAAACTATACTCTTTGGTCGTCACTGACGATGAGTCGATGACGACTGACTAGCCGACTCTGACAGGTGACAGCTGATCATGATTAGTTAGGATAGTCCTTGTCCTTGATTACTGCATTTCTTTTAGGGATGTTCGATGTTGGAGAAACATCGATGATGACATCGATGTTGGCATCGATTGTTCAACATCGATGTTCGATGTTTAGCCTACTCAAAACATCGATGTTGACCATTATCGATGTTTTCTGTATATGTGTAGATACTTACATATTGTTTCAAAATTATGTGGATATACACAGCAAGGGAAAAGTAACAGTTAACTTGAATGTCAATTTACAAACAATAGTCATTATGCGACAACCGACAACGACACTACAAAATAAAGCGAAAGCAGTGAGCACTGTGACATTACCGGTGACAATTTACAATTAAGTTCGACACATCATTATGATATTTTTTTAGGTTAGCGATGCGTTGAGGAATTCTGAATTATTCAAAATTTTTAATCTTCAGAGGAGATGCAAGATTTAGTTGATATTGATTTCACGGGTTCACATTGTTCGCAATTTCCCAATAATCGATTATGGGTTCATTGACATCGATGTTTCGATGTTTGACATATGTCGATATCGTTGTTAAAACATCGATGTTTTAATTTTTAACATTGATGACCATCGAACATCCCTAATTTCTTTTTCAATGTGAAAGCTGACGTTGTTTCTTTAATTTATCAAGAATCGATATACCTATTTCATTAACATTCATTAACAAGTTTACACTTTACAAGAAAACGTTTTGGTTTTCTGTCGATTAAAGTGAAGTGACGATAAATACTATCTAGAAAATCATTCATTACATCAGTACCTACTCCAAAAAGCGGTTAAGTTTGGATGAAAATGTCTTTACAATGGACTTTTATTGCTGGTTATCTATACTTTGAAATCGCTGTTGTCATTATTTTAATACTACCAATTTTGAGTCCTCGAAGATGGCACCAATTTTTTAAATCACGCCTCTTTGCAATATTTCAACAACATGCGGCATGGTATTTCTACGTGTTTCTTGGAGTTTTATCTCTTTTTCTACTTGATGCTATAAGAGAAATGAGGAAATATTCACATTCAAATGAATCATCTGTACATTTATCTACTGAAATGAAAGGACATATTAAACTGTTTCGGGCACAGAGAAACTTTTACATTACTAGTTTTGCAATCTTTTTGGCATTTGTTATTAAACGCCTTGTCACAATGCTAATTATTCAATCAGAACTGGAGCTTAAAGCAGAAAAAATAATCAAACAAGCCGAGGATACTGTTAAACAGGCTAAAATTACAGTGCTCGAAAACCGTTTGAATCGTGAAGGCGAAACTGAAGACTATAATGAGTTAATTAATGTTCTTGAAGAAACTGAAAAGCTCTTGGAGGAAGAAAAAATAAGAGTAAAAGAATGTCAAGAAGAGGCTACAAAATGGAGACTTAAATATGAAGAACTTACAAGTCCTTCAAGTGGAAAAGGTGATGAGTGAATGCTATATTATAAAGAAGTTTAAGACTGCAATTTTTCAATAAGTTTTTTACAAAGGGTAAAATTATAGAAATATATCATATTAATATTAAGGATAAGCAAATTAATAGCAATTTTGACATTAAATTGAACTGCTTGTTTTGTTTTAATAAGAATTGATGAGGAAATAATAACCAAAATATTGAAGCTTATATTGTTTATTTTTGTATATTTAAAGTTGGAAAAATAAAAGTATATTTGTTAAGGATCAATAAGTTTTGTTTGAACAAGAATGATGTACTCGTGATAAGAGAATATAAAAATCTATGTAAACTCACCCCTGTCACGGTAGGTAGAGACCATAGGCTTAGGATATATTCTAAGTCTATGGGAGAGAATACCATTTTGCACAATCTATACATACCTCTCTCACTTCCTTTACATACTGTCTCATAGAGTAAGGCTACTCTTAACTTAGCCAATGTTCAATACATCTTGCCAACTTGGTGAATAAACTTTTGACTAAGATATCCCTTCCGGACTCTGCCACTCACTTCTGTAGCATAAATATTCTTTATCACTCTCGGCAATCATTTCTTCTATGTGTGCAACCACCAAAGCATTGCATTTTTTTTCTTAATCTTAAGAAATGAAATGAATCATATCAAATTCATCAAGAAAAAAAAAAAATAATTCACATAATTTGATATAGTGTCAAATTAATTACTAATTAGTGAATAGTCTATAATCTCTAAATATAAAAATCAATTACTGTCTGTAAGTCTCGCAAAAACTTGAAAATGGCTGGACTGATTTTGACGAAATTTTTTATGTGTTTGTGTGGAAGATTTAAACGATTCACAACTGGACCCGGTAGGTGGTGCTGTTGTAGAGATCCAGAAACCACCCATGCAAAGTTGGGGTATATAGCTAGTTGTATTATATTTTTTACTTTTCAAAAGAACAGAAGCTATGCTCTTGCGTTGAAAAAATTGATCGAGTACTTCTTTTTATTTATGAGCCAGCTCATGCCTACAATCCATTTTGTACCGACTTCAAAAAGTAGGAGGAACTCATTTTAACTGTATGTTTTTTTTTTGTGTATGTTACCTCATAACTTTTTTCTGGGTGACCTGATTTTGATTATTTTTTTTTTATTTGAAAGCTGGTGCTTCTCATGTGGTCTTATATAAATTTGATCAAGGTCTGACCAATAGTTTTTGAGTTATTCTTAATTTACATTGAAATTGGTTGTACAAAATTTTCAATTATGATATCCTTAGTTTTGTGGTTTATCTGTAATTTTTCCTTTAAGGCCTAATCTTTTCGAAAAGGTAATAATGGAAAAAGATCTGGAGAATATAGTGGGGTGGGGTATAGTTTACTAGCCCAGCCTGGATATTATATAGTAGCTCTTATGTCTTGCAGTGTGCATTATTGTTTGCATCTGTACATAGCTGTATCTTCTATTGAACTTACTAGCAATGTATAACTATTTCATAGCTAGAAGTTTCAACTAGAAACCGGAAAAAACAAGTGTTGAAGAATTTTTCGACTACTTAACCCAATATTGTTTATATAATTGTATATGTATCAATATTTTAATATTTATCTGGTTACAAAACTTATTTGTACTGTCAGGGTGTCTGATACTTTTATATATAATATTATGAACATTTATCAACATTTTCATTAAAATGTAAATTAGATAAAACTAGTTTTATGGATCTTATCGCGTTAAGCTTAAGCTATACGTCATAAAAATTAGTTTTATTCAATAAAATATGTTATGTTGATGTTACTTAATAACTTTATAAAATGGTGTTAAATAAAAATATTGTTTATTAATTATTGTTTATATTTTGTTTGCTAAATATGATGATATTTTGATCGTTTCGGGCAATAGGACAGATTCTTTTACAAATGTACATACTGCCTCAGGCATGTTTGGCTCTCTGTTGTTCTCACTTCTTACCGGTAGATACCTGACGTCACAGACATAATGTTAAACCAGGCCTGTCTCACTCCCCACTTTAGGCATGAAAATATACTTACGCTGTGTGGTCCACTACAAGCAGCTAATTCCGTGAGGTTGACATGGCCTACAAATAATTGTTTGAAGTTTAGATGTTTGTCCTTGTGCAATTTATGATTGTAAACTGCTGCTTGTAAGCTGCTGCTTTAACTGATTAGAAAAAGCTAGTGTGGGGGTGTTTTTTAAGAAAATAAAAAAATTCTAATACATTGCATAACACCTCGATGTATTCTACGATATACCAACTAATACTTTTTTTTTTATAGGATAAGGGTGACAAACGAGCACACAGTCCACCTGATGGTAAGTGGTTGCTGTGGCCCATAGATATCTACATCCATCCTCGATTACGAATCAAAATGCAGATGCGTTGTCACCCGTGAGGACTAAGATGTAATGCCTCGTTTCCAGTAAAATGGGTCTCCGGTTCTCTACACTCACCATACGAAACACAGTAGTATTAAGCCGCTATTTTACGCTGGTATTCTGTGAGAGCGTGGGTCCTTCCCCGGTCGAGCCGACCCATTCGTGCTACAAATGTACCAGAAATATAGCTGCAGTATGGCTCTACCACGTAAGTAATAGTTTAGTTTAGTTTACGACGGGCTGTTTTCCGCAACTCCACGTCTATGCGCGTATTTTGCGTGTGGGCAGGAATAATGTGTTTATTTGAGCCATGAGATCTCCCCGAAGAAGCTCAACAGTCCTTTGATGTTACATGCAACTTCGGGGAGTGATCCCAGCGTGCCGGGATGTTTAGCCTTGTACGTAGCGACTTCCGGACATTTCAGTAGCATGTGGGCCGCCGTTTCTTCTTCCCCATACATGCCCTGCACAGGGGCTATCTGTAACACCTATCTATACATATAATAAAACTGTAATTAGCAGATGTCTGTACATTTTATATTTTTGTAATAAAAGTGATTGAGGGGTACTAAAAATAAGTAATTAAATACATTTCTACCATTTTTAGAATTTTCTGTCTGTCTGTCTGTCTGTCTGTTTGTTTGTTAACGTATCACGTATAAAGTACTAATTTATATCATAAGAATTGTTAAGGAAATTATAAAGTGTATCTTCGGGTTACATTTAGTCTTTATTTCATTAAAATCAGTTCATTCCATCAAAAGTTATGATAAATATTCTGAAGTATGGGTAGGGAAGTATAGGTACGAATTTGCTCAACGGTGGCTTTGTTTGAGTCATCAAGTGCATTTTAAACTAATATCATATCATAAATCATAGTTAAATTATGTAAAATAATGATATAATTATGTATATCTAAAGCGCAGTAAACAAAAGTAATAAAGAACGTATTAAATATATTATACAAAAATATATTAACGTTATTAACTAAATCTGAAGCACAATAGTTAACCCATTTCTTCGATAGATGGTGGTGTTGTGAAAATGCAATTGCAAATGTGGTTTTTTCCTGTAGATGAGTTTTCATATTTACTGCTAATCTTTATTATATTACTCGCTGCCCTACTGCGTGTTGACAAACTCAATTTATTCTTTACCGCCGAGTACTCTATGTGGTAAATCAAATTTTAAAAGAGCTATTAACAATTGCATTGGTTTTGGCGAGAGTCAAACTTTATTTTTTGCTTACTTTGCAGGCACTGATTTATAAGTTCTCTTACGTTTTATATAATTTATCAATCGCGTCAATTAATCTCTTTTATTTTTAGAATTGATGATGTTAGCAGCGCCATCTCTCTTTAAATATATACATATAATAAAAATGATGATAACATGTTGTGTCTCTTTCTGTACATTGTATATATATTTTGGTGGCTAAAATCATTATGGGGAACTGAAAATAATTAAATAAGAACATTTTATAATTTTTAGAATTGTCTGTCTGTCTATTTGTCTGTTATTATATGAACGCATCACGTCTAACGTAAACATCTTTTATTTTCAAAGCAATCGTTAAGAATATCATAAAGCGTATCTTCGAGTTACATTTAATCTTTGTTTTATTAAAATTGGTTCATTCTATCGAAAGTAATGATTATTATGTTGAAATGTAGGTTCGAATTTGTTCAATGGCGCCATAAAATCTCAGAAATAGTAATAAAAAGATTTCTGTGTAAAAAAAAACGTTCCATAATAATTAATATATTTATACTTAAAACACAAAAAGAGATAGGATGTTTTCTCACACAAAGGACGTAATAGATGGAGTTGTACAAATTACAAACTTTTCTGAATTGCTGTGTTGAGATTTTTCGCCGATGAATCGTATTGAGACTTACTGAAGAAATTTGTATCCATCGAAGCCATACAACGGAACCCGACCAAAAATAAAAATTTTGCAACGAAATGTCGTGATATTGTATTTATAATATACGCAAAATCAGAACTGCCATTTTAGCGCTTTGGGAACTAGATTTAGCACTTTTTTGGAATGTATAGCGCGCATTTCGAAATTTTAGCACCTAGCGCTTAATCCAGCGCTTTTTGGTGTATTTAGCACACATTTCAATATTTTAGCGACTAGCGGGTTATTAACTCTTTTATAGCAGCACTGTTAGTCCACATTACCGATAATAATAATAATGACCTTTATTATTTTTTCCCACAAATAGTACATTGCAGTTTATCTTTTTCAAACATATTTTTTCCACAAAACAAAGAGCATGGGAGACGAGTCCAAACTAGGATACCCTGTGCTATGGATCTTCTGGCTTCCTCTTTAGAATGATCAACTTGATTTTTTTACCGACGACTATAAGCGGGGAAATCCCCTTTATTAAAGTTTTCGTTCATGGTTTTGGCAACGCATTTATTTTGCTTTATTCAGTTTTAGTCAGTTGCTTAGAGCACAGCTAAGTTAAAAGTTACTTAGAAGTTATAACACAAAGAAACTGTGTAGGAACCGCAATCAGATGCTGACATCTGAAACTAAGTTGCGAAATACATTGCACTTTAAAACAATTAATGACATTTTTATTGTTCGTACAGTACTAACTACTCTT